AATGAAGGGGAGCCTTCTCAGTAATGGGGAGTCCAAATGAGCACCCTAGAGTAAAAACACTCATTCACTGACACAGTGATTTATATTTATATAGCAATGAACATAAATAGTGTTGCTTGTTTACTATGATTAGCTTCGGAAAATGTTGAGTTGAAAGGACATGTAGAAGTGAGGTAATGGATCGGAAACCATGAAAGAATCCACACTGGGAATCCTTATAATCCTTCAGACAATTTAATTGGAGTGGTTTTCAGACAAATCGGATTCCTTAGAATACATTGCAACTTGGTAGGACAGAAAGTAGATTTCCAGATGTTTTGGACTTGCTAGTTTGCATTCTAGATGGCTAGTCATGCTGGTAGGGGCTTCTTGGAGTTGAAGTCCAAATGATCTGGAGATCTTCCTTTTGCCAATCTCTGCATTAAAGTATATCTTCATTGCATATAATCCTGATACATTATTGCTTGCTTTTTTGAATTATAACCTAACCTATTTAAAGAAGAGGGAAAAAGAAACCTGCTTTACCAATTACACTGATGTAATTGCATATCTGGAATGGTTCCAACACTGTCTTTCCTCTGAGGGAAGCAGGTCTGTCTGCAGAACCTGAAGGGCAGTGATTGCCCTTTAGCCCTGCAGTTTCCCAGGTGGCCTCCAAATCTGAGAAGCATTTCTGGAACAGATTTCTAGGTGATGTGGAGGGCTGCTTGTTGCTTTTCAAAAGTGAAATATTAATCCTCCTTTGCTTTTAAAATGCATTTTGTAAGTTTAATATGGGGATCAAATGAGCTTGGATACAATACCACACTGGCTCAGGATATAGTTCAATACATCAGTATTTTAATGAATTCATTGGATTCCTTCAGTGGAACTGTGCAAGGGAAAGAAGACACTGAACTACCTGTTCTATAATGTCAAGAATTATGATCTAATAAAAGTGATTCAGCCATAGTTCGGAAAGATTTTTATATCTGGAACTGGGTGTAATATAAGCAGGTTTTCTGTTCTGAAACATTAAAGTGCTAGTAACTTTTTATTTTCACTGAATGAACAACCATATTATTCTCCGTGTTTATGAAGAAATCATGTCATAGAACTCAATCAGTGTAGAAGTTATTTATTATGCCATGTCAGATGAAAGAATAACCATTTGTTCCCTTTTTGTTGAATTTAAAGTGCAATTCTGTGCATGTCTACTTAGAGGTAAATCCCACTGATTGTAACCAACTTAACTCCCAGATAAGTGTGTAGGACTGAATTCGTGACTACTCTTCTTTTAACACATTATGAACGATGCTCACGTGACATGCATGTGTATCATATAATATTCCGCACAAGCCAGCAAATGGATACCAAATAGCACATTCAGTTTATGACCTTTTATCATTTTCAAAAATTAAAGATTTCAAATATTTCAAATTAAGAAATTATTTAAGGAGGAAGATTAAGGAAGTGATATTGAAACAAGTGGTGATGTTTATTAATGCAGCTTCATTGGAGAAGGGACTACAAGTGCTGATTGCTAATCTGTTGTGTTTTGGATTTGTTCCTGATTGTTTCTGGTTTAGTTTTTAAGTTGGACTAACATATTTCTGTTTTTGACTGAAACTGTCTCTTTTATACCTAGTATAATTCACATCTTTTAAACTGGTCACTCTGTATAAATATATTTACAATGATTAAAATTTTATCAATTATTTAAAGAATGTTGTTATTAAATCAAGGAAATTAGATGAATTTTTTAAATTTTAAAATCAGTTATGAACAGTATAGATTTGCCTTCACTCTATGGCACAAGTGAATATCTACCTCCATTTTTGGAGCTTTGAAAATACAAGCATTTATGTTGCATGTTTTCACTCATCATGAGAACCCATCATTCATAGCTAGCCATGGAGGGTGACTAGGGTCATTTTGATTGAACACAGACCTTTTCTGAATACTGACTTAATTTTGAGGGGCAAGCCACCATGACAACCCATGGGATTCTTATCACAACCATGATGGGTTGTTGTCTCATCGAAACCTGGGAGAACACATTTATCATGGGCTTCTAGGATCCTCTGGTGCTGCCGATCCTGTGTGTGGCCAGCTACATGGTAAACCCATTCATCTCTCAGCATAGCTTGTTTGCAGTGGCTTACTGTTACATGTGAGCAGTCCTTAGATTAATGGTAGAGAAATCCTGAATCCTGTCAAACTGTTTTAAGTTTGAAAACAAGCTCTCTTTGTGCACATAGCTGTACAATATTTCAGTATATAACTTTAAAATACAAAGCATTTTGTTTTACTTGTGGTTTTAATTTATTTGTTTTTATGATTGTCTTAATATATATTTTGTTTTTCATTCTGTATTATTGTTTTATTTATGGTTGTCTGGTTTAAGAACCATTTCCATTGGAAGTGCAGGCCCCAAATTAAACAGTGATTAAGAAATATATTCAAATAGGTGTATATTCTATATCAAGTGCTTATCATTTGTTACTAGCCATGGTTAATTTGGCTGCATAAAGGAAATTCAAACAGGCAGCAAACTTTTCCATAAATGCTTTGCATAAATTTGTTCCTAATCACATGCAAGGTCATGCAGTGTAAGGAAATATTGTCCAAACATATAAAATCTGTAGATTTCAAATAAAATTAATTTTAAGCCACTTTGAACTGAGATTTTCTAATAAAGGACATATTGAAGTAAGCTGGACTCGCTCAACTCTGGTTGTTATTTCAGTGAGGCTCACACAAGAAAATGTCCTAGTTGATTTTGCCCACTGACTTTATGAATTACTTTTTTTAGAGTGAGTGTAGAGTCTCATTAGAGCAGATTCATGTTTAAGTAAAATGAGAGAATATAGTTTACTGCCTCATTAAATATCACCTAATTTGCTAATATATAGGACCATTTAATAATAATAAATCACAGTGGGCATTTGGGAGTTTTTAATAAAACAAATCTAGTGAAATTAATTTTCTAGTTAATCTGATAGAAACGTATTTACTAGAAAGTTTCTGGAATGAATAATCTTATAGACCAATAATATATGGAAACATAAAATGACAAATGGACAGCAATAGATTTGAAATCCGTGAGGAGGCCAAATTTCATCTTATTTGTATGGCTGGATGCACAAGAGCTTGATGGGTTAAATGGTGGGTAAAATTGTAATATTCATTGCATTGGAATGCTCTTTAGAGGGTAAATGTAGCAATACATTAAAGTAATTATTCTATGAGCTTTAGCATGAGTGAGTTAAAGGTCATTTTGAACTTTGAGTACATTGTTAACTATTAAGGTTAATATGTATAACAATACCTTTGAATTGCAATTTATGCTAAGAATAGTAAGTAAAAGCTCTCCTTTAATACAGAATGTAACTTTTATGGCCCAATCCTATGGGGATGCCCTATGAAGAATGATAGGAATGTGAAGATGAAGATCACCTCCACGACCCTTGCACCAATTTTGGACAGATGATTTTGGCTGTTGAACTGCAGCACTTTGGAGGGGGAGAGAAGGAGGCTGAGATGATGCCAGGATCCACTGTATCTTGTCAGCACCAGTCTTCTCCTGTTGCTCTATGGAATGTCCACTAAACTCCTTCTCCAAAGTAGAGGAATGAGAGGAAGGAAGGGGATACAAGGGCTGAGTGTCAACTTTTTCCAACTTCAAAGCTGGGAATCCAAACAATTCTATGGCTATTTAGAAGCCACAGGATTGCTAACTTAAATTAGTTCTGAGTATTCTCTCTCTCTCTCTCTCTCTCTCTCTCTCTCTCTCTCTCTCTCTCTCTCTGTGTGTGTGTGAGAGAGAGAGAGGGGGGGGGCTGGGTGGCCAGCTGGCTGGCTTCTTGCCACTTGGACTTCACAGATTAACTCTCAAATGTTTGTGTTCCTTCTCCATAAACTGAAATTTGGTGCACAATAAAGATGCTTGAGTACTTCAAAAATATCAGGAGAATCTTTTATACCCAGGAATCATAACAGAGTCCAGCATCCCAGTGGAGCAGAGTCTGAGTAGGGGCAGGAATGCTGTACTGCTGGAATTTCAGCACATGGCATGCTTGATGTGGGCTCAGATTTTGATTTTAGAAGTAGCCAGGAATGGTAAACTCTATACAGAATGTATGCTTCATTTGCTAGCTATAGGATGGACGTGATAAATGCCAGCCTAAAATAATATGGAACAGAATGCAATACAGAAGATACATATTTTATTTACTAATCTAGTTAAATATTTGGCCAAATTGTATTTTAGACTGTGTGTGGTTTTTTTTGTATTATTCTTATATTGTGGGGTAATCATTGTTTTTATCTACTTGGTATTGGTTGCATTTTGTGTGTATGTTTGGATTTTGATACTTGTTGGGACATGTGGTTACAGCAGTAAATCTACATGCTACATTTTTAAATGTGGTGGTGCCCTGACTATGGAATACACTCCCCAGAGAGGTTTGCCTGGTGCCGATTCTTTTCAGCATCAGACAAAACCTTTTTTATTTTCCCACTATTTTAACGTTTAAGTGATTTTAGCTGGGGTTTTAGTATATGAATGGTTGGATGCTGTGGGGTTTGTTTTATTCTACTTATTTATTGTAAGCCATCCCGACGTTCTGTAGGGGACGGGATAGAAAAGCTTAAATGAATGAATGAATGAATGAATGAATGAATGGCTTTATAAATATAGATATGACCAAGAACACATCTAAATGTGCTCAGGATTTTGTGCCTGTTCCTGAATCAACAGACCCTTATTCCATGTCAATGCTTTTGGGACTCCCCAAGTTTCAAAAGGAAATTTGCCTTTTGACCTGTTGGACATAGCGGCAGGATCCAAAGCTCATTCTGTAGAACATTAATTTTATGGTTTCTTGAATCCTGGTGATTCTGTATTAATGAAAGCTAAGGAGTTTTTAAAGTTTTTGTCAGACTTATAGCTATCTCCAAATATTTATTTTTTTCCTTTTGATGGCTAAAACTAATATGCACCATTCTTTTTTTTATAGTCACCAGACTCAAACAACCTGCTGGGATCACCCTAAAATGACTGAACTCTTCCAGTCATTAGGTAAGATGATTTCTCCTTAATGAAAATTAATTGGCAAAGAATGTTACTGGTAGACCAATGAAAATGTTTCATGCCTGTGTACTCTCCCTGCAGTTTTTATGTTCATAAAATTACTTTTAGGAAGATGATAGTACTCTACAGGCCTAGTGATATGCCAGGTTCTGTCTGTTAATTGCACAGATGCATTCCAACACTTTTAATGAAAAGGATGCTATGATATGATTTACCCTTTTAGCAGGGTTCTTGTGTGTAGTGGCTCTCTTTCTTCCATATTCATAAATGTGGACATGACAGCATAGCTCCCCACTCAATCAAGTATAACATTTTGAATTAAATATTCTTGATGCCTTTCTAAAGATTGGGATATGTTTTAGCTAGCACATTTGCAATAAAGAGTAGGAGCTATATTGTGAAAAGGAATTTAAATGATCCCCTGAATGCCAGAAACACTGAGGGTTGTCTTTTGACATTCTTCCAGTTTCTCACAGTTATGCTCTGTCACATGCCTGAAGAATGCCTGAAAGGCGACAAGTAGGAAGACATTTTTAATTCATGCTCAGGGTTGGTTTGTTTTTTAGTTGTGTACAACTGGAAATGTGCCATGAGCCAAGGAAACAAGGTTATTTTGCATATTTTGCTACATAAAACATATGGGGACCAGGCATGGGCAGATATCATTTGTGTGATTCCATCCAAGTAATTTTGGCTATGATATTAGAAGTAAAACCTGTAAAATGTTTCTTAAGCACTGTCACATCTTGTACCCTTTTGAATGGGAACTGTCACTGAACATTGTCTCTTGATTTCTTCTGGATTAGTACATTTGTTTTCCCTTTTATTTGGTCTTCATTTTATTTATTTAAAAGAGATTCAGCTGCAGATATTCCCTTACTTAAGAGTAATACCTGATCCTTCCTTAGAATATTCTAACGTGTTCGCCCCCTGCCATTCTTTTAGCTGATCTGAACAATGTGCGTTTTTCTGCTTACCGGACAGCCATCAAGATTCGGAGACTACAAAAGGCACTGTGTTGTAAGTTTACATTTCAAAGTTCATTATTTTCTCTGCGCAGAGATTAGGATGAGAGGGCAAAGTGAATCCACCCTAAAGGAACAAGTATTAGAAACAGATTCCTGCTTACTCGATTGCTCAGTTGTACACCAAATCATGATCACAGTCACTTAAGTTGCTATAAATTAATGCAGTTAATGGAAGAGAGGGCAAGTTCGTACAGTGACATCTTTCTTCCTGAAATAAAGTGTAGGGTGTCCATGTGCTATACAAGCTATGCTGCAGAATAGCAATGAGAAGGATCATTGCAATTTGCTGAAGCGAGTATTTCTTCGTAGAGCACACTATGGTTGGCTGTGCCATTTCTAACTTCTGGTAGTGGGATGTATGTGTAAATGCTCTTGCATATTTTTCTTTTCTTTTTTAAAACCCTCCCTGTGTAAGCAAAAGTTAATCACTCCCATGCTAACAGGGGTGGGGAAGTAGAAGCATATTCAGCCAATGCTTGCACTAGTGGAAAGCACAAACTTCTAAGGTGCTTTGATTTACCATACCTAGAGATTTTCCCTTCTAATTTTTGCAGTAGTGCTATTCACATTATCTAAGGAAGGGAAGTTGAACTTCTTTCATCCCAAGGACTTTTGGAGATTTTTTTTTTTTTTTTTGAGGCATTACAGAATTGTAGGATGCCAAAAGCAAAAGATGTGAGGCTCAAAAAATGTCAGCGTATTTTAACTGGAAAAGCTTATACTGCCCATAATTAAGCCCTTAGGAACTGTAACACAACCTTTTGGAGGGGGAGGGTGCACAAAAGCTGGGAAAAGGGCTGGGACCAAGGGAAGGGAGCAAGAGCAGGGAGCATCCTAAAGGGGCTACATTTTGCTTCTGGCCTGAGATTCTGTCTACTTGTTGTCAGGGGTTGTGGCTTTGACGATACCTGCACCAAATCTAGGGTTTTGATTTGATATCCCTTAGCTCAGCAGGGGAAAAAATCCCCATTAATTTAAAGATAGGCTTTTGTGTTTGTTTGTAATGCTCTAAT